TCACACACCCTGGACAGGACACCAGTCCATCACAGGACACACGCACTCTCACACACCCTGGACAGGACACCAGTCCGTCACAGGACACACACACTCACACATCCTGGACAGGACACCAGTCCATCACAGGACACACACACTCACACACCCTGGACAGGACACCAGTCCATTACAGGACACACACAGGGCAGACAGACGCAGACACACACTGACTCACACCAGGGCCAATTTAACTACCAGCATGTGTTTGGACTGTGGGGGTAACTGGAGCGACTGGAAGAAACCCATGTGAACATGAGTAGAACATGCAAACTCCACACAGATAGCACCGCTGTAATTGAACCCAGGGCCCCAGTGCTGTGAGGCAGCAAAGCTACTTTCCACCACTGTGCCAAAACCCCATTATCTGGATATATTGTATAATTCAAATATTATCATCCTACTGTTTGTACAGCCCTTGTAATGGATATATTGTGCATGTGACAGAGAATGAAGTGCTGAACAGGAGAGAGAAGAATCATATCTGGGAGAAGCTGAACTTCAGAAGATAAGAATAGTTACATATGAGAGGAGACCAATTAGCCCTTCCGGCCTGTTGGTTAGTTATTACCTAATTGATCCAAGGATCTCATCCAGCTGTTTCCTGAAAGAAGCTATTAAGCTTGTTGCACACTCCCATAGCCCACTCTGTGTGCAGAAGTGCCTTCTGTTCTCAGTTTTAAATGCACTTCCATGAAGTTGTGCTTCATGCAGAGTATGAAGCAGATGTTCAGACAGAAAGCTGGATGTTTACTGGACGTGCAGAAGAACAATTACATGAAATGGAAAATTTGGCTGTTTTAGGGTGAAGGGTTCTCATCTCAATGTATCAGTTTTGTATTTCAAACCGTCCTGCACTTTTTTCACAATTCTCCGGGCTGAGATTTTAATGAGTGTTGCAGTTCACTCTCTACTGCATTTCATTTTCCATTTTCGACCACTTTGTACAAAAGCTTGCGAGGTGTCAAGAGCTTTTCCTTTCTGTGGAGCTGAAATAAGAGCTCCCTGAGGAACTAAAGACATCATGCTCTTGCAGGGTGCTTCCACGTGCCCCGCTGCCTCTACATGTGCGAGCAACTCCTGGACGGCCTGTTAGGAAAATCCCAGGCTCCGTGAGGAAAGAGCAGGCCTCAGCAGCAGAAGTCATGGAACTGGAGGATGCTTCCTGCTTCAGGTCTCCCTCCAGGGTGACACAAGCTTGCAGAGGTATTAGAAGAGAACTATATCTGTGCGTTACGGGCTGGGGGAGGGTCTCTGATTCATTTCACTTACCCAGATGAACTTTGTTGTTGTCGAAGCATCCTCTGGCAACATCATGTCTGTCAGATAATAGCCTCAGCTGGGCTTTTGGAATCATTCCAACGTGTGGGCAGCCATCCAGTTGTATTTGATGGGCATGAAACTGGGACCTTGAACTGAAGGTCTTGTGCATTATTAAAACCACTCGGTCATATTTGATTTCACAGCCCTGAACCTGCTGGGCTGGTTTTTGCTGATCAATATCATTTGAAAGATTAATCCTATCTCGTGTTGAGAGCCCGTAGGTTTAGGCTGGAACACACATCTTGCTGTAATACATACAGTACCTGATCTGGAACCCTGGCTTCCTTCTGTCCCTGAACTCCAGCGGGGCAGCTACAGTCCACCTGCCCTGGAACTGAACATTTCAATTACTTAACACCCCCCTGAACACATCCAGCTAAGTGCAACATCAACGCTCCCTGTCCTGCATGTTGCTGAACCAGGAAACCTGTTGGCTTCATCCTCCTCACTCCTCACACTGCTACACTCCATCTTCACCCCTCACACTGCCTGTATCCTCACTCCTCATACTGCTACACTCCATCCTCACCCCTCACACTGCCTGTATCCTCACTCCTCACACTGCAACACTCACTTTCATGACTTTTAACTGTTCCCCCTTCATTTCAAAGGCTGTTGACCTTCTGATTAGGATTTAACACATCCTTGTAGCTTTCCTTTTATCACACATTCTCTTAACACTAAAAACAACAACCCGTGAAATCACAGAGCAAACTAATATAAACTGAACCACACTGGGTGACGCACTGTACGCAGTCACCCTGAGCCATGCTCCCATGAGGCTACTGCTTCCTTCTTTTCAGAGCAATTTGAGAAACTTCTATTGCTTTTTATGGGAACCAGTTTGTATGCTGTTCCTGTGGACAGATATTTGTATCTCTGTCATTTGTACTTTTGAGAACCAGGAGCACATACACCTCAGTCCATACACCGAATGTTTTTACTAAAAGCTGACCGTGCATTTGATTTTTGATAAGACCAGAGTAAGGAGACCTGGTTTGGTGGCCAGGTGAGGTGTGTACAGAATGAGCTGTCTGTGCTGACTGCAGATAATGCACCATTATAGCTGCTGTTGATGTTCATTATCTCCTGGAGCATGAGCCTGAATTATATGGTAAGAGAACTCAATCTATTGTGAAATGCACCTTGATTATTTCTGCCTAAGTCAGCTTGTGCATGCCTTCAGACAAAACCCTCAGAGGTAATTGTGCATTTCAGCATTTAAAGGTGCTATATAGCTGAGTCGGGTCTAACAGAGTGGGACTGGAGAGACTAAAAAAACAACCTTTTTGTAGGAAAAAGTCACAACAACAGCCATTCAGTGTTTGGCTCTTTATTTCAGTGAGAAATGTCTGATTTTCACTGTTTATTGAGGATGTTCTTCCAAGCAGATTCTCTCTTGATCCAACGTCAGTCTCAATGAGTAAAGCATCTTTACAGAGAGTGAAGTCCTCACATTCTGGGTGTCCCCTGGTCTCAGGCCCTGCAGAAAGCATTGCGTTGCTGTGCAGCTGTCTCAGAAGACTGTAGCCATCTCACATGAAATGTCCTGCATATGTAACTCGCATGTGTGCAGCAGGCAGCAGGCTGGAGCAGTGCTGTGGGTTCAGATCCCTGGACTACCCTCAGAATGACCCAGTAAAATACCCAGCTGTGTAAACAGAACAAATGACAAAATGTAAGTTGGTTTGGGTCACACCCACACAAATAAATGCCCAATAATGAATGATTTTCTGTGTTACTGGAGCTGGAGTATTAAGTGAAGTACAGACACTGTATCTTTGATCTTTGATCAAGAGCGTTTGCCTTCCCCATCTGTAACCTTTTGGATTCGTGTTGTTTTGAAGTTCTGGACTGAAGTATGACTAGAAAAATAAATGCTATTCTTTGCCCACACTATTGACACTGGAGTCTTATACACATCTTGAGTCTTGAGCAAGTCATTTAAATATTACATATTCATATGGAATGTGATTTACTTGAATATAGAGGCTATACATGGAAACTAAAAATCTCTTTTGTTGTATGTAAATATTCAAATCAAAAGAGAAAACTGAGGGAAACTTACAATTTTCTGATAATACAGCTTTTTTGTAAAACAAATCGGGACTTGAGATGGGACTAAAACTAGTATTAAAAACCTGTAATCAGTGATAAAGTCAGTGAAAATAATCAATGCATTTTATATGCAGTGTTGTCCTGTTTTTCATTTCGGCATCAGTGTCTAGGTAAAGAATCACTACTGTGCTTGTGGGCATTATTGCATTTCTGTATTGTTCTCAAGGGTTCTGTTTCTAATAAACTGTTCACTTCACCCTCTGATCTCCCCACTATAATGTGTTGAGCACCGTTTGCTGTGTTGCGATTTCACTCCTCCCCTGTTGATGATGATGAAGACTATGCTCGGCCTATGAGGCCGCTGTGTTGAGGAATGTAAAAAAGCAGAGTGAGTGTATTCACCCTAATTTATTCAGTGACTCCAGTTTGCCATTAAGAGGTTGTTGTTGTTGTTGTTGTTGATGATTGTGACTGAATTATTTACATCAAAGGCCTTTTTGTATTTCTTTGATGTGGCCAACAAGCTGAGGGTTTCTCTGCAGGGGCTGACTGAAGCCACACAGCAGAGGAAAGCACAGGTGAGCAGCACCTGAGCTCCCCTCCAGGCTGCTGAGCAAGACACCTCTTTATTCCCCCCATGACGAATCCAGCGTGATCTGCTGACGCTTCAGGTTTAATAATCACACTGGTTTAATTTCGCTCACACTGCAGGCGAAAAGGCCCTTTTTGTAACAAAGGAGAGCTTAGAAACCAAAGTGGAAACTCTGGAGAATTGCATTTGAAGCCGAGAACAAGTCAGTCCTTTACACTTACAGTGGTAGAGGTCTGGAACAAGCTGCCTAGGATTGTGTGGATAAGAGCCTCTGCTGATTTAGCTACAAAAACAAGTGTGATGGGCCAAAGGGCCTCCTCTCATTTGTAATCTTTCTAAGATTTTCTGTTCTTTAATAGGGAACTGATCCTTATTATTATTTCTTTCCTCCTCTAGTAGTGGGTGTTAATTCAGCTTCCGCGTTCCAGGTGACCCCTGTACCAGCACAGGCTCCCAGATAGCTGGGGTTCAGAGGGGTGCAGTTTTCCCCTGGGTGTACTTCACTCACAGCCCTGAACACAAGTCCCAGAGTGCCCACAGGCCCTCAGCCCTGCCTGCTGTGAAAAGCCCACTCCCAGGGGTCCACGACACACCAGTGGGCGGGTCAGCGTCTCACCCACCTGCCCCAGCGGGCGCCTCTTCTTTCCAGAATCTTCCCTCGAGCCGAGATGGCAGTCAGTGAGCACACCCCATCCCATACAGCAGGGCAGGACATTTATTAGCATTAAGAATGCAAAAGTACGTATAGTGGCCATGGCAGAGTTTGGGTTGATTTCATTACGAAGTGCACGGATTAAAGTCAAGTCTTTGATGCGATGCACTAGTGTTGCGTTTTCAACAGACAGTCTAATTCAACTAAAAAAAAGTGTGTATTCATGTGTATAACTATGAAAGCGTGAACAGGCAGGCCTTGATGCGCCCTTAGGTCCACAGCAGCCTGTAGTTTGCCTTCAGGTAGATGAGCGTCTCCAGGTTCCTGGGCAGCAGCTGGCACCTCTCCGGCCGTGCGATCCTGCCCACGGTGCCGAAGATCCTCTCCACGGGCGTGGAGGTGGCAGGGACGGTGAAGACGCGCTTGGCCACGTGGGCGAGCTGCGGGAAGTCGGCGGCCTTCCTCCTCCAGTAGTGCAGGGGGTCCTCGTCGGTGGGGTCCTCGTGCAGGTAGGCGGCCAGCTCCTGCTCCAGGCTGCGGGCCGGGGCGGCGGGCCGCGGCCTCATGAAGGAGAAGAGCTTGCTGCGCTTGCAGGGGGGCGGCCGGGGCGCCTGGCTGGGCGGGGGGCTGGGGCCGTGCTGGGACACCTCCTCCAGCACCACCTGCCGGTGCTGCTCCCTGCTGCTGCTCCACGACAGCTTGAACTGCGGGTCCAGCGCGGTGGCCGTCACGTGCAGGGGGTCCTCCAGCAGGCGGGCGAGCCGGCGGTCCAGGGCCTGCGCCAGGCTGCCCAGCAGACCCGCGCACTGGCGCGGCGCGCTCTCGGCCAGGTGCTTGCGCAGGCCGAGCACGCAGGGCAGGGCCAGGCTGACCGGCACGTGCTTGTCGCCCTCCACCATGTCCGTGGCCTCCTCGAAGGGCTCCAGCAGCTCCACCAGCTCGCGCAGCGCGGCCTTCTCGAAGGCGCCGAGCGCCAGGTCGCGCCGGCCCGCCACGTCCTCCAGGAAGTCGGCCGCCTCCAGCAGGCGGCGCACGGCCTTGAGCTGCGCGTTCCAGCGGCGCTCGCCCGCCGGGGCCCGGCCCAGCGCCGGCTGCAGCTTCTCGGGGGCCACGGTGGCCCTCACGTAGTTGAGGAAGCAGGCGGCCTTGGTGAGCGCCAGGGCCAGGGGCGGCGAGGCCCGCAGGCCGTCCCGCACGCAGCGTGCCAGCGAGCGTGCGAAGCAGGCGACCCGCCGCGGGCCCAGGCACAGGCCCTCGCCGCCCCCTTCCTCGTCCCCGCTGCCCTCCTCGTCCTCGTCCTCGTCCTCCTCCTCCTCCTCGTCCCCGCTCTGCAGGCAGAAGCCGGGCAGGCGGAAGGAGGCCCTGCTGTCCGAGCCGCCGTCCGCCACCACCCGGAAGACCTTCCCGGCGATGCCGTGGGCGCGGGAGATCTCGTCGTACTCCGGGAGGATGCGCTCGGCCGTGCGCGGGCCGGACAGGCGCAGGCAGGCCAGCAGAGCCGACTTGATCTGCCAGTCGCTGGTGATGAAGTGGCAGGTCACGCCCAGGTAGCCGCTGGCCGGCCCGCTGCGCCACACGTCCAGCGTGACGCTGCAGGACTCGGCCGCCTGCAGCGCCTGCTTGCTGGCCAGCTGCGCCTGGTAGGCGTACCCCGGGAGCAGCTGCTGCTGGACGTACTTGCGCGACTCCGGCGTGTAGCGCGGCTCCAGCAGGCGCAGCAGCTCCCGGAAGCCCTCGCTCTCCACGATGCGCACCGGCTGCAGGTCCCGGATGATCATCTTGGCGATGGCTTCGGAGATGATCGCCTGCCGGGGGTCGCCGCGCTCGAACTTGGCCACGCCTCCGCCTCCGCCGCCGCCGGTCCCGAGCGAGAGCGAGAGCGAGTGCGTGTGGGAGTGGGAGTGGGAGTGGGAGGGCCGGGCCGGCGGCTCCGCCCGGCCGCTGGGGGCCAGGTGCACGCCCCCCGAGCTGTAGGCCTCCCTCTTGATGTCCTTCTTCTTGACGAACTCGTCGTACATGGCCTGGTGTTTGCGCTGGAACGGGGGCAGAACAGACCCGAGTTAGCGGCAGGCTCACGCCCGGACTCTCCGTGCAGCGGCAGCGGAATCAAGCGCCCTGACATCTCCTGAGCTACTTTTTGGAGAACTGATGCCTCACAGCGGAACACGGGTTTGCAATCGTGCTGCGTCAGCCTCGATGACGCGTTAACGATTTGGGACAACGGTCTGACCCCCCCCTCCCCACTAGGGCATAAACTGTCCGAATCCGCGTAGTGCGCTGCGGTGTTGGTCCAGTTGCTCGGCACCGGGTCAGAACAGGGCACGAATTCAGAACCCAACCGGAGCCGTCTGGGCTGAACCCCGGACAGGCTGCTGAGGTCATGGTTTTGTTCGAGAAACAAACACGCAACGTGCAGTGATTGGAGACGCGACGGCCTGAATGAAAATACTTGGCCTGGTGCTGAAGACGCCCCGTACTTAATCAACCGAAGCGCTTCCCGGTGAGCCGAGACATTCCCTTTCCTCCAAAGAGCCACCAGAACAAGCATACATTCCATGGCATGTGCAATGTGTTTAAAACATTATACACAATTGATCTACTTCTGCCGTTTCAAAATAGGTTTGATTATCTGCGGCGACAGTGTGTGAAAAGAAGCGGGGTTTTGTACAGAAGGTCAGTCAGCAGGGAGTGGTGAGTTGGTACTGTAGCCTGGAATAAAATGATTCGTTTTGATTCAAACAAACATTTTCATATCATCGAAGAACCGTCGATCAGATAGAGATGCCCTCTGTTTTTACAATTACCACAGTGTAAAAGGGACGTCTGATCTACACAGTTTTGCGTGCGGCAGCGTCGTTATTTGAATGTGAATTATTTAGCCAAGACCGGTATCCCAGGCAACTGAAGAACTGTCTTTTTATTTTGTACAACGTTGTTAGTCAGTCGATTTTCGCTGATAAATGACTGATCAGGTCGGATATCACCTCTCAAAAAAACCGACTCCCGTTGCCTAGCAGTCGGAGCCGGGCAATCGCACAGCTCCAGCCTCAGTCCAGACGACTGGACTCCTCCCGTGGAGACCAGGACTGCGGTCAGCGAACTGGTGAACCTCTCCTGTACACCTCCGCCCCGCAAATCATTTTTAAATATATAACCATATGTATGTCTCTCTCTGCCCGGTCCTTACACTCCACACATCCGTCTGCGTCTCGTTGTCGCTGTAACGCGTTTCTCGCCCCGTATTCCAGCCTTTCTTCGCCGCGTTCCTGGTGGTGTCCGAGCACGGCGCCCCACGGTGAACAGAAATACACCTGCTATGTAATGTTTTGTCAATAATAATAAAAAAAACCCGATTCACGCCAGGGGGTTCAGTCGTTACCCCCCAGGAAGGCTGTCCTGTCAAACATGGTCTTCAAACACGTCAGAAGAAAGTAGAAATAACCGAACGCGCGCTGCAGATTGCCGGAAGAAAACTTCATCGCAACAGCTAATTCAAAGCCCAGTTGAACAGCTATTGCGCTTCTCATGAAATTCGTTCTTTTGAGTATGAATCAGATGCACAACGCGGTGCCCTTTTCAGCGTTTTGAGTTTAGAGACGCACTATCCAAAAATGGAATCCCTTTCCAAATACGACTAAATGTTATTTATCAGAATTTAACCTCGACGCACTGTTCTTTCTAATCAAAGATCGATAATGCGATACTGTTCGTTCTTGACAGCCGTGTAGGAATAATATCACGGCCGATTCCCGGACACAAATGACTGTTTCACACCTACACATCTAGTGTGCGTGCGGTAAAGGGGGTGAGCCCGGTATTTCATTCATCACAGATAGCAGGACGGATCCCGGCCGCCCTTCAAGTTCCAGTCGCTCGCTTTACTGCTGAAATATTCTTGCTACTGGACATTTAACAGCGGGCGTGATCTGTGGAACTGCGGGCTGGCTGTGTGGTTCGGCCATCTCCTCGGGGCTGGGAGAGAGAAAATCCTTCCTTGCGCGGAAAATGCTTTTTTTTTCTCATCAGGTGGTCGATATTTCCACGGGATTTTTTAACCCTTTCGCGCACTCGGGGCGCAGCCCTGCCACGCAGCCGCCCCCTCGCCCTTACCTTGAGATGGGTCACGAAGTTGGACGTTACTGTTCTTTTCGCCTGGATCCTGGTGCCGCACGCCTTGCAGTTGGACTCGATTTTGCCATTTTCCCCCTCGAAGACGATGTTGAAGTAATCCAGGATAGACACCCTCGAATGTGACGCCATCTACGAGGCTGAGACCTTCACTCGGAAGTAAATCGGATTGTACCCCGTCTGCCTCGCTGTCCCAGCCCGGTGACGACTGCTGCCCCTTCAGCGCCCCAGCTCCGTCGCCGGGATGCAATTAGACGCGACAACAGGGATGGTGCATAGCGCTCCGGCACAGAGCCTCCCAGCTCCCAGCTCCTAAACCCCGCTGCACTGCCGGGATCGGGGGTGTGCTCGTCAGCTGTTTTAAAAGCCCCAACACCTGTCTGCGCTCTCCCCTTCACGGCTTCGACGTCTGCGGCCGGGAGCCACATACAAAACCCCCTCTCCGCTAGGCTGCTAGGATGCAAATCGCGACCAGGAAGTCAACAGCTGTTGTGCTCGGCTCTCGCCTTCGGTAATTTCCGCCCCCTTTCGTCGGCAGCGAGCTCCCCGAGCGCGTCACTCGCCGGCCCTGCGGAGCCCCGGTCCAGTCTGAGAGGGAGGGGGGCACCTGTACATGTCCTTTCCGCACAGACAACCCTGGTCCTTGAAGGCCAGTCTCCTGGATGTCCCCTAACACATTTTATTCCCGATGACTCAATTTAACCCTTTAATGGCCCTCAGGTGACCACCTCGAATTTGTTCAGCGTTGTTTCCACATGGGGGAGTGACCCCTGACCCCCCCTGGTGGACTTGGGGTCCCCCGGGAGCAGCTGTCGAGGGGTTGGGGACTTTAAACACCGAGCTGACTCAAATAACGCGGGTGTGAAGCGTGGGCACGCACTACTGGCCGCTCGGAGCGTGCCCGTGCGTCGAGCCAGCCCCCCCCCCACTCGAGCTGCCCCTCCTGCGGCTGCGCCCCCGCGCCCCCAGACTGCGCCAGGCCTCCTTCCCCATTCCGGTTCCGGTTCCGGTTCCAGCGCTGTCGGCCCCACGGAGCGGGCGCACGAGAGAGGACCCTCATCTGGTCGGCCTCCCTGATCGCGCCTGCAGCCGAGACACTGGCTTGTTCCCGATCTGTAGGTGCATCATTGATTGATGCGATTGATCGATCGATCGATTGCTTTCCGAAGACCTCAGAGATACAGCTGATAGTAAAGTCGAGAAAGTAATTCTCATTGTAAATGTTAAAGCCGCCCTTAGGAACGGTGGCCATTTCACACGAAAGCCCTGGAACTAGGGCTTCACTGCCTTTGGAAGCACGCTGCTGCTGGCTGTGAAGTGCACAGTGCTCGTCATCTGACTGAGGTGCTGACTGCTCCCTCTAGTGGATGAAACGGGAAACAGCTTGTCAGGCCTGCTGTGGTGGTTCAGCATCTTCACCTGCCGAAGGTCAGGTGTCATGTTCTCCCCCAGGACACTAGTGGCGCCTGGCCCAGCGGTCCGGGCTCCGGACTTCAGATTGGGCCGCAGGCTTGAATCCTGGGTGAGGCACTGCCATTGCAAAACAGAGCAGGGTTTGTCACCACTAAATTAGCCTAGCAGCACGTTCTGCTGAATGAGGAGGAACACGGGATTAAAAAGCGGTAACAAATTTAACTGTCTTGCAATTCAATGTGAAACAGAAGACAGATTGCAGTCTTAAATCTGACCTGTCCAGACTGGTTTGGCAGATTATTGATTTTTATAGGCTTTGAACTGTGATCAATAACAATAACGTTATTTCCCAAGTTCAATCACAATTGGGCCCGAAGGAATAAGAGTCATGTAACCTATCGGCCATGCTGTTCCACTGCAACACATTCTCTACTGCCCGCAGACTGGGCAGAGCAGGGCTCACATTAGAGGTCTGGTACCCGACAAAGTATCGGGCTCGGGCCGGGTCTGGGGTGTGGGCTTGCGTGGCGTTATGACGCGGGAGGTGGCTGAAACCAGTTCACCTTGCTTACAGCACCTGCTCTTTTAGTAGGCCTATCACCGTTATCAACTGTCCCCCACTTTCAACAGGATTACAGGTTTATAAAATACCAGTTTGTCTCAGCGCACGGCCTTGTCTGCCTATCAACTCAAGCGCAGAGCAGCCGAGCAAAGCATTGTAAAACTGCGTCTGTGGGAATCTGTCTCCGTGCGTGCAGGTGTGTCTACTCGCCCCGAGAGGAAAAGAGAGGGACCGATTTGGGGTTCGGGTTTCAAATCTGGCAGTACCATTCGGGCTTGGTCCGGGCGGGTGTCAAGGTCTCGGGTAGGGGCTTCAGTTTCACGCCCGTGCGGCCCTCGAGCTCACCTCAGTCATTCAGGCGTGTCTAAGATTAGACTGTTGACTTACAGCATCACTAGTTTTCATTAACAATATATTTCACATTCGACACAAGTTAAAATGACACCAGAACTATTTACAGAAACATTTCCCCCAAACAAAAATAATGACTACAGCCCACATGTATTTTTTAATCCCTCTGCAGACGATGCTGGACAAGGCTACGAACGCCACGAGCAAGACTCCTGGGATCACAGCAAAATTCTTCATCACTCTCAAATAGACCCTTTTAGCCTAAAGGAGAATTTCAGCCAAGATTGTAGTTGACCGCAGGTTCAGGATGGGGGTGGCGATAGTGAAGCTCACTCTGCCACACTGGGTCACATCTGATTTGATGTCGCGTCTCTTTGTGCTCAACAATTCAGCACTTGGTTCCTCCCCACTCCCCCCTCTCATCCTCCTTCCCTGCCGTTTCTTCATCTGTCTGTCACCCCTGTATTTTCCCCTCCTTCTCCATCTTTCACCCTCTCTCTCTCCAGCTCGTCCACAGGCCAGCTCTCGTACCGCTGGACGGTGTTGACGTTAATGTCTGAATCTATACATCGACACAGGTATTCAAACTAACACACTCTACAATACACACACTGACGCATGTGGCCATATAGTAAAAGCATTCCTATATTCTGTCTGAACTTCAGTTTCATACATTTGAGATCAAAATAAATATTTAGAGGTGGATTCAGCTTTCCTTGTTTAAACTGTCTTGCTTCTATTCCGATTTGCTGTGCCAAGCATGAAGATCCTCACTTGTACAGCAACACTAAAGGAAGACAGCGTTGATTGAGAGTGCTTCTGGGGTTAGTGATAGTCAGAGGCCAGAGAGAAACGGGGGTGTTCACTGAGTATGAGGGGTGATTGGCATATGCACGTGGTGTTCAGTAACTGCAGAGCCTGACGCTGTAGAAACAGCTGGTCAGATTTGGAGTTTTGTCCGTATGTTGCTCGGAAGCTAATGCAAGCAACAGGCTATGTCCTCACTTCCCCTCTCTCTCTCTCAGCACGGACCGTGCCTCTTCCCCGGCCACTGTCTCGCAACCCACACATCACACATTCTCCCGGCGTGCCTTCCCGATCCACACAGAGCTCCGACGCGGGACTGAGCGGGAGACTTGAGCCGGCACACGAGCGGCGTGTGTCTCAGCTCCAGCCCTGCAGTAATCACGCACCATCTTCCTCTCCGGAGTCCAGAGTCCTGCCACGCGGTCCAGGCGGACAGGACCGAATCAGAGCACGGTGTCCCCTCCAGTGCTCCCAGAACTCTGGAGACTACGGAAGGGGGCTCTGTGAATGAGCCACACCACACGCTGTGCTCCTGGAGATCGAGAACACGCACCCCAGCACTCGTGTATGTTTGTAGCCACACTGATCTAGAAAATGAATGTGAAATTAATCTGCCCTAATTGCACACCCTTCCTCTGTCCTGGAACACGTGAGAGTCTGAGGACCGTCGCAGAGCTCCTGCGTGTCTCAGACAGGTCTTCCAGCTGTGCAGCTGAATGCAGGGAGCGCTCACGCTGTTGTATGGCTCTCCCTGAGGAGACGTGCTACTGGCTGTCCAAGGGGCGTGGCTAAATCTTCCCCATCCTAGCTGTTGCTGGGACAGAGGGCCCAACCGGCTGTGCATCCCATTCGTGTCGGCAGGACTGGCCAGTGGGCTCTGGCTCCCAGGATCAGAGGGAGAAGCTGTGGGCTGTCGGAGGTCCACGCTGTGCTGTTCCTGGAGGAAGGAGAGTCACGAGGCGTGGCGTGAAATCTCCGGGACTTCAGCAGCTCCTCCCCTCCGACTCCGAAGTCCCAAGTGCAGGAACGTCTATCGCTCCGCCCGGCCCCAGTCGGCCGGAGGGTCCCGGGGTCCCTTCGGCTTCTTGATCCGGCAGTTGAACCCTGAAGGGACAGAGAGGTGGGAGCTTGTTTTAATCAGGAAGCCCATCAGTGCCACTGGCCCGGCAGTTGCTCTCTTAAACCACTTGGGAAGTGCCAGAAAAAATCTCACATAACACCCTCTCTCACCCACACACTCTCCCTCCTTCTGTGAGCAGCCCCAGCACCTGCCAATGGTTTCAGCGATCAAGGCTGGGATTAAAACACAATTCCCACTGCCCTTCACTGCATCAACCCCAGAAGCCGTTTGCACACAGACCAGTTCCTCTCACCGGAGACTTTCAGGAGATCGGCAGCTGTCATTTAAACTGAATGTAGCTAACGCTCACTTCCTGATCTGAACAGGAAGTGTGTTCGAAGGGGATTGGAATGAACTGATTACACTGATTCAGTGTTTGTCGGGGGTGTAAAACCCTAACACAGATTGCAAACAAGAGGAGGCAATTCAGCCCATCTTACAGCCTTCTGTTTTAAGAAAGAAGCTGGGTGTCACGATCGTCACCCCTCCTCAAGAGGGCGCTCTTCATTATCACGTTCACCTGATAACGGTGATGCAGGCTAGTCTGAGGCTAACTGGGGAGCCAAGCTGTGCACTCTTGGGTGAGCAAAGCGTTCAGACGCCCTGAGCACGGGAAGCCTGAGATCCTGCTGACAGTGAGGGCCAGTGGGCGGGGTGAAAATACAGTGAAGGGCCGCGTCATGCTCAGAGTGCCGAGTCACTCGGCGAGAATCCCGATGGGACTCCGACTTCAATGAGTTGAGCAAGATGGGCGAGACAGCTTCCTCTCATCTCTGCGCTTTCCAATGCCCTGACCCAAGCCACTCGTGAGTCAGCACTGTCGGACTCCCATGACTCGGCAATGCCAAACAGAATCAGACAGCACTCCTGTGTGGAGTTTCCATTAGAAAACTAGAACACTTCTACACCTTCAACACCTGCCACGACACGTCTAACCATATTCTGCGACTTAACGCTCTCAGAACCGCGGAGAGGAACACAATACCCAGGCCGTTGGCGGTGCAGTAGTCCGTGTCCTCTTTCCTGGTACTGGACACGTACTCATAGTCATCATCTGTGGACGCAGGGCTTTCCACTGGGAAGATAAACAAGAAGGACGTCAGGAGGGGGCCCCTGTGGAGGCCGGGCTTGAGGACGCTGCCTGGCAGAGACTGAGCAGGACTGAGGCTGGACCTCTCTGCACACGGTACCACACAGCTCCTGTCCCGGGCCAAATCTGCGCCCGCTCACACTCCTGCAGGGCCACAGTGCTGTCAGACTGTCCCTCTGTCCGCAGACTGTATTTACTTAACTGCACTCTAATGTAGCCAGACCCACTGAAACTCTGCGCGGGCTATTTGGCTGGGGAGGCAGACCTGTGGGACTGTGGCACTACAGGCCCGGAGCAGCGTGCTGTTGATCCACACACAGTAACAGGGCAAAGGGGCTGCAGGCTGTCAAACACATCACAGGCCAGTCCAGCGGTCAGCCTGACAGAGGCACACAGGGACAGCCAGCGAGGGCCCTTGAGACGAACAGTAAAAGACGTGTCCAGTCATGCAGGAATGGCTACAGAGCTGAAACACTGTTTTTTTTTGGGGGGAGGGGGGTTTCTGAAAGGATGGCGACTGTAGAAATCTGGGCCTGGGGTCGTTGCTCCTGACCTGGCTTGAGTGAATTTGGAACAGACACCTGCTGTTGCACACGACACCACAGCAATAGCTGAAAGTCAGGACAATATCATCAAGAATAGCTGCTGGACCATAAGTAGAATGTGGACTCTTAAACCCCCATTCATGTAATAACATGGCTGGACTCAGACTATAAAAACCTCTGTAACTCTGTTGCAATCGGGGCACTGTGGGAAATACAGTACACCTCATGTGTGTCTCCTTCGGTGTTCTCCGGAAGCGTCTATTTTCATTACAATTAAACTCATCTCAGACCTTCACTGGCCTGCACTGTGACTGCTTGCATCCCTCCATGAGCACCCAGCTCAACGCTGTTCAAGCTGGCTTCCTTCTCCATATTTTTTAAATGTTTTGTTTAAAATGAGATTATACAGATTTAACTTGTATCTCAACACAACAGCTCGTCAGGGTTGTTACCGATTAACTTATCATAGTGTTGATCAGGGGTGTCAAACTCAGACCCTGGGGGACCTTGTTTCTCCTGCTTTTTGGTCCAACCTGAATAGTCAAACTAAACAATTAACCCAATAGTTTCAAAATTAGACATACATAGAATGTCTCTGACAGTTGATTACATGAGACATAATATACTACTACAAACGAACAGTACTTAGAAGAACAAGGGCCAGTTCAACCAGTTCACACAAAACAATGAAAGGAAATGTAAACTTACAGTTCTTTTTTGCTGTGTAGGAGCTTAGTGCCTGAAAGCAAGACAAAATAAAATGAGATTATAGTGATGCTGCAGCCCTGGAGTGGCATGAAATCATATTTAAGCCGAGGGACCAGTTCACACTTCATTCATATTTCCACTTCACAGCCAAGGGATGAGATCAGCCGTTTGTCAGCCAAACGGTAAATGTAACTATAAAGATTTTCAGTTCAGGGTCTACACTTTGTCTGCATCAGTGGTGGTAAAATACAAGTTATTCTGTCATTTTATCCTGCAGGTGATTTGATCACACAGTAGCTTTGGCCTCTGGGCTGTTCTCCCTGGGATCAGTGAATATTATTGAGGAAGTCAAACTGGGATGTACTCAGCACACAGAATTGTGGCGGGACGTACAGCATGAGAAGATACAACAGTGGATTATAACCCCTGGAGAAAATAAAAAAAAACAGAACTTCTCAAGAGAAAGAAAGGCCAGTCTCTCTCGCACCCAAGCGCCTGACCACTTTAAAGAAGCCCGACACAAACATCACAAGAGAACTCACAGCTCCACTCCGGACACCAGGAGGATTCTTGCACATGAGAAAAACAACAGAACAGCCAAAGCATCTTGGGTTTGTGGCAATATCTTAATGTTTCACACTTCATTGCTGCTGTTGACTTAAAAGGGTGACGGGGCTCTGCAGAGGCAGGGAAACGAGCTGAGAAAGAAAGCTTGAGAAATACGTGCACAGGATGCTAGCAGTTGCAGTTTAACTGAGTTTGCAGTTTCGAAAGGAAATTACGAACATGCAATACATGGGCAGACGTCACCAGTCTTCAGCGCTAAAACACTCATATGACATCAAACACAGGAGAGATCGGCACTTACCTTCTGATCCCATCTCAGGCTTTCAGATACACCTGTAGGACAGGAAAGAAGAAGGAAAGAAAAAAAGTGACCAACTTGAAAATGAATATCTTCTTTGCACACACAAGTCTTGGCCTGGTGACTTCAGGAACAGAGCCAGTAGCATGCTGACTCATTCATTCCCCTCTTTGCACCCTGTGTTTCAAAATAGACCCTTCATTTTCAGTCCAGGTTCCTGTTTATTTCTCAAAGCCAGGGCAGCAAAACAAACTGGAAATTTCAAAGCGAGAACGAAATGTTCCGCATTATGCAATAACCTCCTGCTCCCGTTTTTAAATGTGTGGCACCGGGCTGGAAGCAAACCCGTCAGCTCGTGCTTGTTTGGGTGAGTTGGTCTGGATGACCTGCGGCCCAGATGTAACCGGCACTCTGGGAGATAAAAGACGGCTCAGATTTCTACAGCCTGCAATGCTCAGCGACTCCGTAGATAAGGCCAGCAGGTTTCAGAGGGAAGTGAAAAACAGTCAGAGGAAGAGAAGCGAGATCTCTCGCAGTAAACAAGCTGTGCAGAGTGTGATCAAACCACACACAGCTGCTGAAGGCCGGGGGCCCTGGTATCCTGGGTGGGGACGCGCATTTAGAAATGATTCTTTACGCACAGTTTCGTTAAAGAAATGGCTACTACCAGCTGCACAACCTAGATGGGCTGAATGACTCCTATGGTTGTTCTGTGTGTTACAGAGCAATGTTACTTTTTGGCCTCCTGGATAAACTAGTAACAAAATATCTAAAGCATGAATCTTGAGCATTTTAAAAAATAGATATTTGGGCCTTTTCTATTTCTTCATCTGCTCCCAGCTGAATGGAGCTGCACTGCAATCAGCTTGATTCCCCACTACAACCCTCTCAGAAGGGGGACCAGCCTACAGCCCCCTACAGCACTACAGCCTGGGGACCAGGCGTGTGTCTGTCGGGCCATTCGCACTGCTGCACCGCTGAGATGAGGGAGGACAGATGTAGTTCGTACCGGATAACAAGAGAGCACCAGGCTCATGAGCACCAGGGCTCAGTGTCTACTGCTGTGGCCCTGATGGCCTGGCCAAGATGTACTGTTAGTCTGGAGGTCCTAGCAGCTAGCCAGTCCCTACAGGCGCCTGCTTTTCCTCTGTTTACCCCGAAAAACACATTTGTTTGGTGATAAACAGAAGCAATCGGATTTAACTAGGCTGAGATTGCTGTACAATAAGGTCCCATTGCAGTGCCAGGAAGCTGTGCTGTACATGAAGAGGATGTAACCAGGCACCCTCTGACCACCTGCGGTATGAGCACTGTCTGTGGTGAATTAGTAGGAACGTGTTCGTGGCTTTTTCCCTGCCTCCAGCAGTTGCCACATTATTTTGAAGCACTTGTCAGATTTCACTCAGTTTGAGAAGTGACGCAGGAGGGCATTTCGTAGGCACTTTTATGCTAACTGTCACACAGCAGGGTGGTGCAAGAGAGAGGAGGGAGCCTCAGGAGTTTGCACCCAGCTCGTGCCAGATCTGCAGTGCAGCCAGCTGCACAGACCTGCACGCAGCTGCACAGACCTGCACGCAGCTGTACTGAGCTGCACACTGCTGCACAGAGCTTTTCTATGGACCTATGGACCCAGGGGAAGATGAGCTAACAGAACAGTCACAGGCCTTTTCATTCTACAGGCTTTTCCCACCCGTCGCTTAGTTCTTATTTCACAAAATAATACCAAAAACAGCAGATGCCTTTGAGGATGTTACAGTGGGTTTTTAGGTGAGGTCCTGCTCAGCCCGCTTGGCTGGGGAGCAGCCCTCTGGCTGCAGGACGTGTGGAGAGGACGGAGAGGAGAGGCCGGGGGAGAGGAATTCTCGGATGGGGCAGCACGGCGCAGGTGCAAACACACAGCAGGCGGGGGAGAGGTGCCGGAGCTGCGTGGTGTTTCGCGCACAGTATCGAGGCCCGGCTGGAACCCCGGCGGTGGATCTGGCCCCGAGCGGACGCGAGCGCCCAGGAACACTCACCCCCAGGGAAGTCGTAGCTGCCCGGGTCCGAGACGGGGGAGGCCAGGAGGAAAGCCCCGCCCGCCTGTCTCTGACTGGACGGCGCCGCTGTGTCGTAGAGGGGCGTGGGCAGTGTGGTCGGCGAGCCGGCGAACCTGGCCTTGGGCTTGGGCTTGACGGTGCTGTAGAGGACATTCGCGGGGGCGCTCTTGGGTCTGAGCGAGACCAGGGGCTCGTTGTCGTAGTGGTGCACCATGGGAAGGCCGTCCGAGGGACTGGGGGGCTGGGCAGCAGGGTCTCTGGGCTGGAGGGGCTTGCGCTTGTTTACCACGGCGTAGGTGTCGTTCATGTTCTGACCCTTGGGGGGCGCTGAAGTCTGAGGCTTCACAGGAGCTTTTCTGCAAAGGGTCAAACGCGTGAGTGGAGTTCAAGTCAAAGACGCTGCACAATACCATCTTGGGAACCACAGAAGAAAACCACCTGGGTGACAGCTCGAGCTCGTTCTGCACGAGCTCTTGATGTCCCATTATAATCTTCTATCGACATCTAGATTCCACTATTGATAAGTTTGCATTGAACGGAGGTTCTGCAGACAACAGAGTGATGATGCATACCCTGGCCTAACCTCATCGCCCCTGTGAAACTGGAGAAGCTTAAACATACACCGCAGATTATCTGTTTATCGCGGTGAAATAATTATGAAGAGAGTATCAATTCAACCCCTGTTCATGAAATGGATTATAAGGTGATAGTGGTGCCTGAGGGAGGCCCTGCGCTTACCACCTAAGAATCTGCTTTGCATCAGAAACAGCAGCAAGACCAGCGACAGCAATGCAGACCTGGACCTGACTGCCATTCCCTTCAAGCCCCAGGATATATCTGGTTGCCCTTCCCTGGACTGATTCCTGAGCAGAAAGTCTTTGTTCTGGTGACCCAAACTGTACACAGCAAACTAACTGGTGTCTTACTAGTGCACTGTACAGTTATGTACAATTTTAAAGGAAAGTCCCCTGATTAAAATTCTGTCCTTTTAACTTTCATCCTAACATCCTGTTTGACTTTTTTATTGCTTCACCACATTGTCTAGAAGATGTAAATGATGTACCACAGCGAACACCTGTCTTTTCATAAGCAGCCTCTCCTAGCCCATTGTTTCCTGTTTTGGAAACATAGTGTATTTATCTGTCAGACCCTGCACTTGTCTACATTAAACATCACCTACCAGGTGCTTGCCCAGTTCTGACTTTTATTAAAATCTTTTTGAATTTTCTGCAGTGATTACTCATCCTCTTTGCTATTGTCTGAAAACCTGGCTAGTTTGCCAACTATACTAAAATCTAGTTTTTGTTTTAGTAAATTAAGAAGAGCAGTGGTCGTAGCACAGATCCCTGTGGAACCCCACTAATTACACCGCCTCCGTTTGGTTTCATTCTTCGGCGGCTTTTCTGATGTGAAGGAGTTCTCACCTGGACATCCTTTCATGCCCCGCAGGGCGACAGTCACCTGGCACTTGAACACGGCCACAGTCTCAGTGTGCAGTTTGAGTTTACTATTGGTTTTGTCAACACAGATGAGAAAGAGACGCAATGGGGCAATTCGTGTTAAAAGCACCATTCACAAAAATGCATTCTACACTATTCTAAGTGTAGTCGAACTCCGTATGCTCCAGACATTTCACGTAATTTGAAGACAAGATGGCCGAGCTCATCACAGTCAGCCTGGTCTGATTTATATAAAAATAGACGAATTGCTGTTTTTAGAGGGTCAGCTTCTTGTTTTGTGATGACTCCTCTACCTCTCATATGGAAAACGAATTCTGCGTGACAAGATTAAGTGTGACCCAGCTTTTCTTTGTGTTCAGGCATCATATGGTCTTATTCAGAGAAAACAGACGCAGCCCCGAGTTTCTCCTCTCAATCTCAGGCGATAAACGTGATTATTTCATTAAGAAAAGGAGCTGTAGTGTGCTGTACAAGGACAGCCCCGTGTTCCTCAGGCTGCTGCACCTGTGTCAGTACTGCCTGGCATGAGCTGTGATGCAGAAAATAAAGAGGCGGTTTTATCTGTACTGTGAATCCCTACCCTCATTACAACCACACGTTACACTACATTCCTTGCTCTTTATTTTAAACAGCATTCTCAGTTATCAATCTCTCCACTGTGTGAGCACCATTGCCATTATTTTACCACAGTTGAGCCCATATGTCTAGTTTGACTGAAACATACCCACGCAGGCAGAGAGCGTGTTATCTTACGAACAGGAAGGTGAAAACAACCCTGCAAACTTCCAGACTCTTCCCGGAGTGCAGTAATCATGCGTCAGTCGACTCCACCGATTATACTAGCTAGATGAAAGACTGTCCATAGCTGTAGAGTACAAGGGATATCTGAGCAACTACAGAGCTCCACTACCAGCAAGCAGCAATGCAGCTGTGCTCTGCCATTACACCCTCCTCCCCTCTGCTAGCACACACCCTTCTTGCACACCGTTCAACTTTCTCCCGATGCTTCTGCTCCATGCCCTGCCGGTGTGAGGTACAAGGCGGGATGCCAGCGTGTGTGCGTGCTCCTCGGTGTGCTTGGTGTTCTGCTGCCGGGGTCTAGCCCTCGTGAACATTGCAGGAGTGGCCATGAGGAGCAAGTCCACCTGCCTCAGCGGAGCAGAGCCACGGCAGCTGCCGTGCGGCACAGGTTCTCCTACCTTGGGGTTTGCAGACCGTTGTTCCTGATGGGTGAGCTGCCTTTCTGCACCTTCGTCACTGGGTCCACATTGTCGTACAGGGGGGCTCTGTCCTGAGGGCACAGGGCATTCTGTTAAGACCCCGCAGACTGACGAGCTTCTTTCTCTGCGACCGAGGAGGAAAAGTCAGATCTGAACCCTCCCCTGCAGCTCTTAGTCTGCTGTAAAACCTGCAGCTGCTTTGCATAGAGGAAGCTGGCGGCTCTGCTCATTTCCTGCCTGATCTCAGTCTGGGCTCCTCATCCCGCTGCTATCAGGTTTATGGGTTTTTTTTTTTAAGCACAGAAGGGGAAGTTAGGCACAAAGTTTAAAAAACGTGTCAGCAAAAATCAGCCTGGAGCTCGTGCCCAGAGAGACGCGTCTACTTCAGAATTCTACCTTCCAGCAGACAGACTGATTTCTCTCTCAGCATCACCAGTTTCGGACTGGCTGGAGCTGTAACCTTCTGCCACTCGCATCTGCAGGTGTCTAGCCTCCCGTATTTGGGCCAGGCATCTTTTAACACTCGACGGTATTCAAAATGCAGAGTTTTGTATAGGGCAGATATAGAGTACACAACTACAAGAACATTAGCAGGAAATTATCTTATCACCAAATTAGATTGTAGACTTGATAGTAAGTCAGGCTCTTCTAAGCGGCAGTGCTGAAGGGTTTATCATTTTTCTCTGAAATTACCTAGAAGAGACATTGCAGAACAATTGGTTTGTGGTCAAACCACAAGGTTTTCTTCAGTAGTTTGGCTAGGGGCCGCAGAGTGTAGTTCTGGTTAGAACTCTGGACTGATAACCAGTAGGTTGTGGGTGCAAATCCTGGCCGGGAACAGTGGTGTGTACTCTTGATAAGGGTACTTCACTCAGATGTATAATAATGACTGATCAAGCCACAAGATTTCATTAAATACTCAAGTCATATGATCTCATAAAAAACATCGGATGCACAATGTTTGGCATTTGAGGAGTTAAAACTGCTCCAGTGATGAAGATGGTCTGGCTGCCAGGCAGACAGGGAGAGAAGCTGCCTGTTGAGCGAGACGCTCTGCTTCATCAGTCGGCCGACTACTCCAGAGCAGCTGACTCTGGGAGAGACAGGCCCTGGCCTGGAAGGCAGAGGGTCACTACGCTGGCCCAGTCCAGTGGCAAAGCTCAGTGCAATGGAGTGTCTTATCGTTTGAGGGAAGCCTTAATGCTCAGCATTATGCCGACAAAGTCCTCGAGCCAACATTTTTTCTGTTCCCGTAAGTCAGCAGGACAATGCACACCACACAGTGCCAGGATTCCAGTGGAACAATGGCAATGAAGCCCTCCTCACGTCGAGGCTCTGTCACGGCCGTGCTTCTCTCCTGCCTGCGGTCTGACAGAACATCTGTGGGACCAGCTTGCCAGCTGTGACCGGCCTGCAGCAGCAGGAAGAGCCGGAAACATCCCACAGCTGTCTGTCCAGAGGCTGATCAGGACTGAGAGTCAGCACCGCCAGCCCTGTATAAATGGTTTCAATTTTATAGTCTGTCACATTACCCGAAAACTTGAAACAGGACTGTGCTCATACATACTCTGAGCACAATTTGACACTTATATTTAAAATATTTGATTAGATCCTTCTTACCTGAGTGTTGTGTTTCTTTTGTGAAACAGTACAATTAGGTCATTTAATAATCCAATGTCCACTGATTAAATATTGATAAACATAACGGGACTAGAGGCATTTGTATCCTATCATACAGTTGTCCAGAACAGAAAGGCTATAATGCTGAGCAGCCCATGACTCTGCTGGTCTCTTACCTCGGTCTGGCTCTTGTAGTTACAGCTATTGGACTCCAAGGTCTTTTCAAACATCTGGGCCACAGTGCTGTGTAAAAACTCATACTGCTCCTGGGAGAAGAAGGACACAAGCATGGGCACAGGCACCCCCCCACACTGCTAGTGTCCCAGTCACAGAGGACAGAGAAAACCATCACAAGAGAAACAATATTCTGTGTCGATTTACTGTCTTCAACAGGAACGCTGAACCTGGGGGTCTGAGATCTTTTCTTCTGTTCTTCTTCATCATCCACAGATCCCTTTTGTTTTTTGGAAAAACAAACTTATCCTTTCCTCACTTCTACAAATAAGAACAGCGCAAATTTTTCTAAAACATTTCTAAAAATAATGGACTGTATGTCTGTTTTACAGTCCCTCACTAGCATGCAGGAGCAGATTTAGGTCTGAGGGCAGGGTGAAAGAACGGTACTGTATCAAATCTGTGGGTTTCACTGGTAGAAACCTGCCACCAATCCCTACAGTTTGCACTGCCAAGAACTGCAGGAAGTGATCAATTACTGTAGCTGTGGGTCCGCCGGTGGGAACTGTCTCTTGACTGAGTCTGGCCGTCAGAGACTGCTTATTCCGAAAACAATGATCAGACAGTTCCCCTAAAGTCGATTTTAAATCACCCTAACTCTTCCTTCGCTTTTTGGCACAGAAGCGAGCTCGCCCTGGTAAAACTGCTGCTGGGCTACAGCGGAGGGGGGTGGGGGGGGGCACCTTGGTCTGCACAGCCGCGGGTCTCTGCCGCCTCATGTCCAGCACGATGTCCTTGATGCTGAAGTCCGCGGTGATCCGCTGTGGGAGAGGAAAGCGGCGTCAGACGGCGAACGGGAGTCACTGTGGAAGTGGGCCCGGCGCAGACAGGGTGAGGTTACCCTGCTCTCATCCGCAGTGCCTCTGGGTTCCTTCTAACAAAGCCTTTCCCTTTACAGAGTTGCTTTAAAAGCCCACTTCTCCTTCAGTTTTCCAAGTAGGATATATATCGCCCCCCTTGTCTTTATTTGGAACACCCGCTTATTTTGCTTTCCATAACGCTGCCAAGTTGGAATCACCATTTTACCACTGCAATGCTCTACTCGCTGGGGTGTCTAAATCTACTCTGAACAAGCTGCAGTATGTCCAAAATTCAGCAGCCAGAATCCTGACCAGGTCTAGTGCACGTGTTCACATTACTCCTATCCTGGAGTCCTTGCACTGGCTTCTGGTCAAATTCCACGTAGTCTTTAAAATCCTCATGCTCACCTATAAGGCTCTTCATAGCTTGGCACCTCAATACCTGTCTGAACTTTCATCGCCCTACTCCCCACCTCGCAACCTCCGCTCTTCAAATTCTGCCCTCCTTACTGTCCCCCAAGCCCGTCTACATTGTATGGGCGACAGGGCCTTCTCCCACTATGCCCCCAAGCTCTGGAACTCTTTGCCCAAGAAGATCAGAGAGTCATCTTCTCTAAACTCCTTCAAATCCAGACTCAAAACCTTCTTCTTCAGAAAAGCCTTTGCTGAACTGGTTCCATTCTTCACCCCTCTGCTC